TGACTGATCCAGTACTTTCATGTAAGTCTACAAGCTCATATAATAGGCATATAAAGGCATCTCTCCTAGCATTCTATAATGAAATCCTGAGCAGATCCGTAGCTCTAATCTAGCATGTGATTCACAAATTCACAATTCAAAGCATAACACATAAAACATGTATGGGTATTTTGGGAAAACTTACTTGAGCTCGATCAATAGCATGTACCACACCCCTTTCCTTTATTAGATAATCCTTTAATTAAAACATTTCCTTTTATGAAAAATCTATCAAGCCCTCAGTTTGAGATCAGACACATCCGAGAGTTTGCCCGAATCCCTCAAACCAAGGATGTGATACCAACATGCAACGTCCCAAAACCCAGAACCAATTTTTTTTAATATTAAATAAAACATCAACCAAGCATGTTTATCAAAACCATAAGGAAATCATAGTGTAACCATAATCATCCTAAATACATCAGAGTCAATAAAGCGAAAAATCATGGTGTGTGCGATGCGATCATCCCGAGCTCTTTCCCTTCGATCCAAAAGTACCTGAAACATAAACTGAAAACCGTAAGCACAAAGCTTAGTGATTTCCCCGAAATACCCCATACCATAAATACAATGGGCCTTGCCCGACAACCATCAGGCCCCGCCCGGAATAGATCTGTCAATAACATGCGATGGGCCCCGCCCAACACACTCATCAGGCCTTGCCCGATATACATACAATACATGAAAGAGTCACACAGACGACTAACATACAAATAACAATAATCCATGGTCCGGCATTGGTATCTTTGACCCGCTAAACATTAGTAAAAGACTCGCCTCAATCTACTGAAAAATCTGATAAATGCTCGAATTGTTGATCCGGGAAATCTCTGCACTAAATATGATCAAATAATACCCTATTTAATATTTAGGTCATAAACCATAACCGAGAGCCCAAATCCATAAATCCTGACTCTTATGGTAAAAGGCTATTTTACCCCTCAAATCTAAACCCATTCAATCAAGGCTTAAACCCTCAAAATGACCCAAAAAGAAACCGGCCCCCACAGCAGGTAGTACGCCTTGCGTACCTGACTTGTACGCCCCACGTACTCGAGTGACATCCATCGAGCCTCATACCCAGTACGTGCAGCGTACTAAGAAGTACACCCGACGTACTGGCCAGAGTCCCATTCCTAAGCAAATGTCTTAATCCATTAAGACGTTAACGTCCAAACCTCAGATCTAGGGCTAAATAAGGTCTTAATCAATAAAGTTGGCAACTTTACTCCTTTGCATGTCTTAATGGGACCCAAAACCCGTTTTTATCCATGTAGGTCCATAATATGAACACCAACTCTAGCATGCTTTATCAACACCCATCAAGATGGCATTTTTATGCACTAAGAACATCAGAAATGCTAAGACGTAACTTTCTAAGCTCCTGGTGTAGCTCATACTCACAAGGATGACTCAAGGGACAAAAATATGACCAAAGAAAGCCCTAGATTAGATCTAACACATAGGATCATCAAGATAGAAGCTTTATACCTCCAAACTCTAGCAAAACTGATGAAGACTACGGATCTAAGAGATCTACTCCAACCAAGGTTTGAACACCAAGCTCCTTCTTCTTCAAAGTGAGCAAAAACACCAAAAGTTAACTGACAAGGCTCAAGAACACTCAAGAACAAGTAAGGGTTTCGTGGGGTATCTTTATAGGGAAGGAGGCTGATGAAGGAAAGGGTCTTGAATCCATAATGATGCTTAAATAGGATCGAAACCCTAAAAATTAGGGTTTGTCCTCAGAAAACGTACGCCCAGCGTACGTGACCCTCCCTAAGGGTTTTGCTTTTCACCCCTTGCACCAAATTTTCAAACTAATTTAATATCAACGATAAAAATAATACATACCTGGAATCCGGGTATCGGTTGCAATAGAACGATATTGGCATGAAGAGCCAAAGAGTTGATGTAACATTGGTAGCCGGGTTGAGCGAATTGTCTTGATTTTTGGTATTTTCAGAAGAAATAGTGTGCTCCACCTGAATTTGAGCACTCTCATGGGAATCTATAGGATTATTAAAAGCCTAAAATGTGTCTAGAATATTTGGCAAAGAACCATATCGAGAATTGACATGGCTGTTGGGTGAGTAATGCATCATAGTTTTGTTGAACACAACATTTTGACTTATGATTACTTTGTTTGTCTCAGGATTCCAAAGCTCATATCTTTTCACACCTGATTTGAAACCAATAAAAAATAAATTTAATAGCTCTAGGATTTAGCTTTCCATTATCAATGTGAGCATATGCGACACACCTGAAACTCCACAGTTTCGAGTAGTCTGCGGGCGAACCGGACCAAACATCAATCATAGTCTTCTTGTCCAATGGAATTAAGGGCGTACGATTGATCAAATAAGATGCCATGGAGGCTGCTTCAGCCTAAAATATATGATATAAAGATGCCTCAGACAGCATACAATGAGCCTTGCTAACAATGATTCGCTTCATACGTTCGACTACACCGTTTTGTTGCGGTGTATGAGGAACTGTGTAGGGACGAACAATACCTTCGTATTTGAAAAATGATTCGAAGTCTTTTGAACAAAATTCCATCCCATTATCAGTCCTTAACTTTTTACTTTTATTCCGGGTTTGATTCTCGATCATAATCTTCCATTATTTAAAGGTAGAAAACGCGTCATACGTGTTTTTCAGAAAATAGGGCCATACCTTTCGGGAGTAGTCAGCAATTATCATTAACATATAACTCGCACCACCAAGAGATTTATTTTGGGAAGGACCCCACAAATCAGAATGTCTGTAATCTAAATTTCCTTTGGTGGTGTGCTTGCCGGTATTGAAATTTACCCGCTTAGATTTTCCGAAACGCAATGTTCGCAAAATTATAGCTTCCCTTTGTTGAAACCATCAAGTAGACCGTGTTTATTTAATTCGGAAAATCCAATTTCACTCATATGGGATAATCAAAAATGCCATATTTTAACCTCATCAGTTTCTGAAGACGTGGTAGACAAAACTCGACTAAAATTTGAAGCAATTTCGTGATTAACCAAAGAACCATGTTTGTGATCGATTTTAGAATTTGTTAGATCCTTTGGGGATGATTTTTCATGAGAATCAGGTAGATGATTATCAGGAGTGATGGGAGAAGCGGAAGCAGTGATTGTTGTACCCCGGACATAGTACAATCCATTGGATTTTTGTAAATTAGCTTTAATAACTACTAAAGAACCTTTTAAGATATTTAGCATACCATCCCCATGTGTAAATTTGAAACATTTGTTGTCGAAGACAGTAAATGATATAAGGTTTCTTTTCATCTTCGAGATGTGATGAACATCGGTCAATGTATGAATAGTACCATCAAATATCTTGATACGAATGGAGCGGATTCCTTCAATTTTGCATTGTGAATTGTCAAAACCAAGAACGGACCCAATGTTCAAAATTGGTTCAAAAGTGGAAAACCAATCTTTATGTGAGCACATGAGATATGTGCAAGCTGAGTCAAGAATCCATTCGTCATGAATATCGGCAACCCCGGTAATAACTGCAAGAACTTCACTGTCAGAATTGCTGTTGTCACGAGCTTAATTAGCCGATTTGTCTTCATCTTTCTTTTCCCCGTTTCTCTTTTATTTATTTCTCAACTTGTAACACTCACAGATTCATGACCATCTTTGTGACAATAATCACAATTTTTGTTTTTGCCTTTGCCTCGAGATTTGGAACGCCCGTTCTTTCCACGAAAACCCCTATCTTTGGAACGTCCGGAACCGATAACCCTTCAGCTTGTGAACTACTTTTTTATATCTTTTATAGGTTAATTAACATCATAGCAATTTTTATATCTTTTATACAGTTTTTTTTTCAATTTTAATGTAAAATACAAAAAAAAAATACAAATATCGGCGATGCCTTTAGTGGCGACAAAGGGTTATTAGCGGTGACAGACCTTTAGCGGCGACATACGCTTATTAGCTGCGACACGCCTTTAGCGGCGACATCTTTCATTTGTGGCAACATATGGAGTATTAACGACAAAACATCGACCTTTTAGCGGTGACGCGTCACTGCTAAAGGTATTAGCGGCGACAAACGCCACTTTTAGCGGCGATGCCTCGCCGATAATACTCTTATTTCTTGTGGTGTAATCTAATTCTTTTACTGGCAAGAAAAATAAAACAACTCAACTAGTAATAAATATAGTTGTCAATTTCTTGTGCACCAAGTTTAAAGAGCATATCCAACAAAATCTTCAACCCAATTAGTAAATTGTTTGAACCCGATTCCAATCCAGATCGACCTATTGTCAGCTCCCTTAATGTCCTATCCAACTTTATTATTCTTAGAATTCTAAGAAGGCAACCATAAATAATTCATGTCAATGCAACGGTGAATGCTTCAAGAGCAATTGTGGGGGAAACGTCGAGTCTAACAATGGAGATTGAGGGCAATATAGGTGAGTGTGACGGCGAGTCCAAGAATGAGGGTAATCGTTGTATCAAATTTAAAGTAAGAAATCATAGAAGCCGGTCCAACAATGAGTCGAACGCTATAAGGGGTAACTACCAGAAGAGCGTGAGGATAACGAGGGGTGGATTAAGGTTTTTATTCTATAAAAATACAATTATTAGGTAAATAATTTTGAGAGTACCCGATAAATATTTTTCAGAAAGACAATATTCTCAGGGTCGGTCATCACACGAATTTATTCCTATGTTTAACAAAAACCTTTGTTAATTGGATCCCGCCGTTCAAGAAAAACAAAATGCATTCAACTTGACAAATGAATATTAGATCAAGTGGGGTGTCACGCGTTTAAACAGACAATGTGCCACATTAATTTTATATATTTTCCGGTACCTTTTTAACACACAAAATATGATAAGGATGCGTTCACCGACCTCTATATATACCTTTCTCTAAACATCAAATCAAAGCAACTTGTTCACATATATTGAACCAAATCTGTCATATAGACATATAGCATGTCAGTTCAACAAGAAGATGTTATTCGACCCACCGTAAATTTTCCGCCGAGCGTTTGGGGTGATGTGTTTTTGGCCTACCAACAGGTACACAGAGTATTACTAGTCATCATGAAAACTACAACATTTGCATGTCTCTGAAAAAATATGTTTATATTCATGCTGCTTCTATATAATGTTAAGATCATATGTGTATATTTAATTATATATGATGAATTAGTGTTCCCTTTTGTGGATTAATTCAACAAATTTAATACCGTCTTATTTCTAATGAAGCAAGAAGAAGAAGAAGGGATAGAAAAAGTGGTTGATGACTTGAAAGAAGAAGTGAAGAAAGAAATATTGGCAAGTTTGAATGATCCGACGAAACATTTGAATTTGTTAAAGCTGGTTGATGCTACCCAACGTCTTGGAATTGGATATTATTTTAAGAAGGAGATTAATCAAGCCTTGCAACAAGTCTTTGATGCATATGGCGATCATAACTGGGAATGGTGCAGGTACCTCCTTGTGGTTTCGACTCATGCGACAACAAGGTTTCTTGGTCTCAAGTGGTTAGTGCATGTGTGCAATTTGTATTCATTATTCAATCAATCATGTTAGTTTCAAAAGGAACTAATGATGTCAACTTATATGAACTGAAACAGATACTTTCAAGACATACAAGGATAAAGAGGGATGTTTTAATGAGTCCTTAAAAAGTGATCTTGAAGGTTTACTTGATTTGTATGAGGCATCGTATCTGAGCATGCCTGGTGAGGTCATACTAGATGATGCTCTTGATTTTTCAAGAAAATGTCTTGATGACATGGCAAAGAATCATCTTTTAAGCAGCCATGTTGTTTCTAACGAAATACATGAAACACTAAAGCAGCCATACGTTACATACCTTTCTACGAACACCAGACCTTTCATAATCACTCGTTACTAAAACTTGCCAAGTTAGGGTTTAACCTGCTGCAATCTCTCCATAAAAAGGAGATTTGCCAAATATCCAAGTACGTATACAAAACCTCTCCTTTTGGATAATTTTTCTGATTTCTTAAAATTAACAAAGGAGTATACACATGAATCCAAAGTATCTCTCATATAGACTAATATATGTGTGTATTAAACTACTATAGGTGGTGGAAACGCTTTGATGTCCCAACCAATGTACCTTATGCAAGAGATAGATTGGTTGAATGCTACTTATGGGCATTAGGGACCCACAGTGAGCCTCAAATATTCTGTAGGTAGAATGTGGGTAGCTAGAGCTCTTGCATTAGGAACACTTTTAGATGATACATATGATGCTTACGGAACATATGAAGAACTTGTGATCTTTACAGAAGCTGTTCAGAGGTATATATATAAAAGAACATGCATATGTCTCCTTTTAAACCGTATATTTGAGTTACATTTTGTTCTTAATACTTTTATAGGTGGTCAAGTACATGCGTGGACGACCTTCCAGAATACATGAAACTTCTATACCAAATGCTGATGGATCTTGATGAGGAAATGAAGGAATTCTTGGCAAGAATGGGAAAAGTCTATCAACTTAATTACGTCAAAGAGACGGTATATAAGTTTTAACATGTTTTTCTCTTTATAATAGTATATTTGTTTTACAAAAGTAAAATGAATATGGCCCCTCGATCTTAAGCTTATGATGGTATGCTTTCCTTTTAAAAAAAAACCCATGTCTTTTTGTTGTTAGAAATACTTATGTTTTTTTGGTTGTTTTTAAAATTTTGCAATACAATCTATTACATTTAGGGTTTTAAAAAATGTGGAAGATATGGAGAATGAAGTTTTAGAATATTATTAATTAAAGCTATTTTATTGTAGTTTTTTTTATAAAACCTATTGATTTGATTGTATGTGACTAAGCAGATGATAGAATACATGGAAAGCTACATGATGGAAGCAAAATGGAACCATGAAAGCTATACTCCAACAATGGAGGAACACGCAGAAGTTGCTTATATTAGTACCGGATATAAATTTCTTCTTGCGGCAAGTTTTGCTGCCCAGAGTGATGCAGTACCAGATGAGACATTCCAATGGGTTTTAAGCTATCCTCCTCTTGTCAAAGCTTCTTGTGGGATTTGTAGGGTGATGGATGATATTATCACCCACAAGGTACAACCAACTATGAATTTTGTGATGCTACAAACTGATGTATATATAATACAAAACAACCCACATTATATAACCTCTCTGCGCCATACGCTTATCTGTTATTCATTAATAATATTGGAAAATGTGTAAGTAAGTAGTGTTAATTTGAAAAAAAAAATTGCAGGAGGAGCAAGAAAGAAAGCATGTTGCCTCTGTCATTGAATGCTACATGAAGCAATTTGATGTCACTGAGGAACATTTACAAGGTGTTTTCAATGAGAAGGTTGAAGACGCTTGGAAAGAAATGAATAAAGAATCCATCACATGTAAAGATGTTAAAATGTCAATAAATAGACGGATTATGAATTTAGCACGTGTAATGGATCTTCTGTACGAGAATAAGGACCATTTCACATATGTTGGAGAAGAACTCATAAATCATGTCAAGTCTCTTCTTGTCGACGCTATCTTGATATGAGTTCCAATACTCATATCTGTAATCAATCCTCTTCGCTATACTTGGACATTGGAGACGCCGGTTTTTTTAGCATTATAAAAGTACTTTGGAGTTGTTTTGTATTGGGTTTTTTCTTTAGCCATTTAGGCATGTTAACTCTAGATTACTTTACTATTTATAGTCTTTTTTATTGTTCTTTGTATTAAGTTTTTTTTTTATCAACAATAAAGCCTTAGCCATTGTTCTCTTTAAATTGTTATTAGTTTACACAATATCAGAGCTATATTCGATCCAATTTATTTTTTGTAGATCGAATTGTAATTGTTCGTTTAAAGTAAAAAAAATGGTGTCGTTCATCGGATCCGATCTAAATTATTTATGTAGATCAATTTGTTATTGTTTGTTCAAAGTAACTAAAACAAATGGCCCTGTTCATCGGCTTTGTACTGTCCATCGAAAAAAAAAATCAAGACGGTTGTTTTGTTCGTTTTAGTTATTGTTCAAAGTTGTTTGTTTGGTTATTATCGGTATTTGTCCTAATTTGTTTATGGTATTCATTTGCTTTTATTAATGTTAATATGATCCCCAAGGATGATTCTTTATGGTCCATTAATACTTAACTATATGGAAAAAATTATGCTTATTGGAGTTATGTGATTGAAGAATAAACAAATGTGGCATATGTTACTGGAGTAAAAGAAAAACCGACATATGAGATGTTGTGGCAACCCGAAAATTTTTAGCTTTGAAAGCACAGTCAGTCAACTCAATTGAGTGTCAGACTCATTGGTACTGAGTTCTAGCTGGTTAAAGGTCATTCTAAGGAGTTTTAAGCCTAGTACACTAAAGGAATGGGTGTTAGAATGTACCTGCTAGAGACACTGTTCAACAAATCAAGCCTTAACCTCTTCATTTAGAATTCACGGCCACAACACTTGAGTTTACGGCCGTAAACTCCATCCTTAAGACTCATGTCCTTCATTTTCATTCATTATCTCACTTTCACCTCAAGAACACCCCATTTCTCTCTCAACTATCATCCCGATTTTCACCCTAGATCTTCAAAAGTTGTAAGTGTTCTTCCTTGATTTGTTGATACATCTCTTAATCTAGTATCCTTCCATGATTCCATCCATGAAATCATTCCTTTTGCTAGATCTTCAAGTTTCACCAAGAACACACACTAGTGTTCTTGGCCAAAATCTACCATTTCAAGCCTCGATATCGTAAGTACTCTTCCCTATACTTGATATCTAGTTAGGATTCATGCTTAGGACCTTGAAATCATCAAGAATGCAAGACCAAAAGGAGTTTACGGCCAAGCCATCTCCCATGGCCGTAAACCCCTATAAGGGTGCCATTTTGGCCATAAACCCTCCTAGATGCAAAGCTTGTGACCTAGAACCCTTCCTTGATGAAAATAGGACCTTGAACCACTCTCAATTGCATAAAGACCATGAGTTTACGGCTGTAAACTCCTTTCTTGGCCGTAAACTCATCAAAAGACTCCATTGAGTTGGTCTTTCTCATCCTTGTGTAGAGCAAAATTCCTTTAAGCTTCCCTAGCCTTCAAATACCCTCATAAGCATCTTTGACCATGAGTTTACGGCCATAAACTCCCTTGGCCGTAAACACATGGCCGTAAACACCAAACCATGGTCTTAAAAACCCATTAGATGAATCACATGTGATTCTTGTTGGATTAGTGTCTAAGTCCATAACTATTTTGCTATGTACTTGACCCGATTGTGAGCATGGTCCTTTTGGGTTGCCTTCACACGGGTGACTAGACAGGATGACAGTTGAGGAGAGAGGTTGATTAGGGCATAAATATGATTTATTTATTATATTATATGATTAATATAATAATTTGGAATCATATTATTAATTAGTATTTAATCAGAAATTAATTAGGAATTAATTTCGGGATTAAATGAATTAATTAAAAGTACAGCGGCTGTTTTGTAATTATTTGATAGTTGAGACTTTGGGCTATTGGATCACCTTTATTAAGGCTTGAACGAAAATCCTAGAAGGATCTAGGAGTTTTCGTCCAAGGGCTTAAGGAAAGGAATCCATGGACTTGCTTAGGCCCTAAGCTAAGGGATTAGGGTTTCCACCTTGAAACCCTAGCTAGCCTCAAGTATAAATAGCACCCTAAGGCACTAGAATTCGACCACTCCTTGGGAAACCCTAAAAGGGACGAATTTTAGAGCAAGATACCCTTCTCTCCTCTCTCCCATATTCATCCTTTCACCTAGTGTGTTTGTGAGCCATTAGAGGTACTACACTTGTGGTACTTGCTTTCAAGAGCTAAGGAAACTCAAGGAATTAGTTGTTATTACTATATAACAACAAAAGGTATGTATTCTTTTCTCCTATGTGAATTTCGAAATTACTAGGAGCATGCTAGGTTTCCTTATGTGTTCATAATGTTGTATAACTAATAGTGATAACATAGATCCAACTCTAGGGTTGCATGCACACATAGGATTGTTTGTATAAAACCCTCAGTGGTATCAGAGCCATTGGTTTTTGTTTTCAATTAGATTCTATACAAAAGTATGAATTTGACATATTAGGGTTTATAGCCAATAAACCCTAAAGGCATGATTTTCGAAATTAGGGTTCATAAACCCTAAATTTCGAAATTTGGTTAGGGTTTCCCAAATCCTTTCCTTAGCCTCCAAGATTTCGAATTCTAGGGTTATCCAACCCTAGGATTTCGAAATTGGCCTCCTCCCCAAGATTAGATCCTAATTTTTAGGGATTTGGATAATGTCATATCTTGTAATTATCTTTTAAGTGTTTAAATTTGGTAATTAAAGATTTTGAATTATCTCATCCCATAATTTCGAATTTTAGGGGATTTAAGGGATTAGGTTAAATTAAGTGTTTAATTTAATAGATATCCTCCAAGATTTAATAATTCAAATTAATTGTTTAATTTTGGATAATTATTAAATCAAATTTTAATATTTAAGATTAAAAGGTTTTAATTTTTCGAAAATTTTTAAACCTAATTGTTTTGAAAAGTTCAAAACTTGCCCTCAAGTTTTGGAATTTAAAAGTTGATTAAAAGTTTAATTTTGAAATGTTAAATTCTAAAACCCTCGTATTTTGAAAAGTTCAAATTACACCCTTATGGTTTTGTTAATTTAATTAAAAGTTTAATTAAAATAGAAAGTTAATAAAACCACCTAGTATTTTAAAAGTGTAAAAAATACACCCTATACTATATATATGACATTAAAAGTCTAATATTATATATATATATATATATATATATATATATATATATATATATATATATATATATATATATATATATATCTATGAGTAAACAGTCAGTCTTACCGTTAGTAGGCCTCATTCACGAAGCTGGTCTATAAGGGGTGTTTAAGGAAATTGCCTATAAAATGGCGATTGAATGGGTATCCACTCTTACCCACCGCACTCTTGACTAGTGGAGGGTCGTTAGCCGAACGGGTAGGATAGGACGAAACCTTCCATTATAAGTATAATGAAGTACAAAGTAACTACATGCTTTTACAAATTCCCAAATTCTAGTTACTTTAGGCAAAATGTGAAATTGTATGCTAATCCATGGAATTACACTTCGTACCCTTGTCAAACGTTAGTGGAGCGTGTGTGGTTAACCGGCACACTAATTTGGGATTGACATTGGTGGCGAAGGGTGGCTCGATGTTTATCATAGATCAATGGAGCGTGTGTGGTTAACCGGCACATTGATTAGGTGATAGTATCATTGAGTGCATCACGTAGATTCGTATGGTTATTCACACCTTGTTTGTGATCCTCGGTATCCCAGTCGCAAATTTGAAGGGCATAATCGAGATTAAACATGCCATTGAAAAGTTCAATGAATCTCAAAAGATCTAGGAGTTTCAATTCATTTAAAACTTAAACTTCATTTTTGTTTTTCATGGTGGGAATTGGTAAATCGTCATTTACCTACCTTCAAATATTCTGCAACTAGATTACGGCATCCCTCTTCTAGGTTGTAGAATGTTGTGTTGGATCCTAGCCTTGATGTTTCATTTGGGTGTTACATCAAGGATTCTTATCAACTAACTTGAATTTTCTCCCGTTTTGTAGATGTCTAAATCTTACAATGGTCTTCCCAAGTCCCTTGGAACAAGCTTTCCAAATGAAGATGACGTTCCACGATACGATCAAGGAAATGAGAGTCATGCTTCACTTCCTCCACCTCCTCCAATTATTCTCCCTAACCCACAAGTTCAAAGGCTTGAAAAGTTCAAGCTCACTCAAGCCCTATTGGCAAGTAAACACGAAGATGGGAAACCTGTGTGTGCACACGTCTTGGAGATAAAGTCACACATTGACAGGTTAAGGATGTTGGGTGTCGAGATTTCAGGTGAGTTGGCTGTTGACTGGGTTCTTCAGTCGCTTCCTGAATCATATAGTGAGTTCGTTAGAGAGTACTATATGATGAACCATGACGTGACCCTCATTGATTTGACCTATTTGCTTATAGCTGCTGAATCAGCAATGATTTGGCGTGCTGATCAAGCAAATTTGTCTGGTGAATCAAACTCCCAAACTTCAATGGACATTGAAAATGGTGACATTGGAAATCCAGAAAAGGCAAATTCTGAGATAGTTCCTTGTGCCATTCCAAAAGAGTCCATTTGCTTTATTGCCAAGAGAAGGGGCATTGGAGACGAAGCTGCCCTATTTACCTGAGAGATCTGAGAGATGGGAGAGTCAAGACGTATGGCTCTACTTCAGGTAAAATCTATTAACTAACTCTATAAGTTCCTATTCTTTGATTCTTAATACATGATGTGATAAGATTACATTTTGATGTTTTTGCAGGATCGAAGAAAAGAGAGGAAGCTTAAGGAAGAAGCGTGCTGAATCTGATCATGAAGAAATGGATTTCGATCGCATGGACTCGAGGATCAGATTTTTGAGCTGCTACTCTAGAGTTAGGATAGATTGATAAGAAATATGTAATAGCATAGTTTTTCAGTTGAATTGCATTGTAAGGACAAATTTTTCCGCAATAAAATAAATTTTGATTTTGTCTTATTTATTTATCCTTGCAATGGTGTGTATGAAAAATTGATGTTTGATTGTTTCTATTGTTAGCAATAATGGATTTGATTCTTAATTATGTTATTTGTGGAAATGTCGAGAATTTGC